GTGTGTGTGTGTGTGTGTGTGTGTGTGTGTGTGTGTGTGTGTGTGTGTGTGACAGACGAACAGGAGACATCAGGCAGCATCATCTACACAGTGGAACTGAAGCGCTACGGAGGCCCTTTAGGTATCACCATCTCAGGCACAGAGGAGCCTTTTGACCCCATCACTATATCAGGCCTAACCAAGAGAGGCCTTGCAGAGAGGTACTACATGCTCAAACACATACATATACACACTGTTTTATAGACCCAAACTTTTGTTTGATGTGCATTTTTTCTTTGTCCGAGATATAGGGGATTAGTAGGATCTAATAGATACAATAACTAGACTCTGTCATGGTACAGGAGGTGGTTTTTTACAAAAAAAATGATGTCCTCATATGAGGACACTGGGTCTTACCATGCAAAACTTGAGAAACTTCATGATAGCCTTTTTGTGGGTGTTCCTAGTTATTTTAATTACTGTAGTCAGCTGTTGACCAGAGCAAGATCAGTGAATTGCATCATCATCATCATCATCATCATCATCAGTGATAACTTTCAAATTGCTTGTCAATCACACGAGACCTCAAAATCAAACAAAAACAAACTGTAACTGCACATTCAATGCATGTATATTTGCAATTCTGGCATTGTTGCATACATTTATATCTGATATTTTTTGTAAAAAATTTTGAAATCTTTGAGTATATTTATTGTTTTTCTCTATGATCTGTTTTTGTTTTGTTACGACCCGGCTCTAAGAGTTGCAACATAATTGGAAACCTGACTCAGGATGCCAGTTTTAAACCTTTAGAAGGCCATTTATTAAAGTGTCTAGGAGTAAAAAACTGTGAGTTGGTGTTGCCCTCGGTGCTCCTTACACTGGATGCGCAGAGCATCTGTCTCACCATCTGGACCACTTCAGGTGTGTGGTCCAGTACCAGATCTGCCTCCACACCAAGGTTTCTGACTGGTCACTGTCCTGTCCACCATCGTGCTCCTGGTAGACCTTCTTGTCCACCATTTAACAGCCTCTCTCGGAGTCGTCTCCTTCCAGAAGAAAGCTCTCGTTCTCGTTCTGGTCCATGCGTCAACCTTCAGTCAGTTCCAGCCTTTTTGCGCCACCAAGCCGTCCTCGTACGCCCCTTTGGTCCTTATGAAGATCACCAGCATGCTCCACACCTTCGTTGGAGTCACGCTCTTTGACATCTTCGGATCCCAGCGTGCCTGATGCCTTTCCTCACACCAGCAATCACGACTTGGTTCCCCACTGCTCCTTCGGCTGCGCCATCTCGCTGCCTACCGAGCTGCTGCGCTTCAGCTGCTGCCTCTGCTGCTCAGCTGTTCCTCCTCAGCAGCTCCTCTGTCACTTGTGCCAACATCTACAGTGGTTTGCAAAAGTATTCATACCCCTTGAACTTTTCCATATTTTGTCACATTACAACCACAAACATAAATATATTTCACTGGAATTTAATG